GGGGTTTCCTAGTTGCTAAGGATTATTATGTATTATAAAACACAAATGAGAATAGCTTTATCAGCTCTTTTTTTTTCCCCATGTAAAGCCGTGAAACTAACTAGCCCTTCGATTCCAGAGAGCAACCACCAATTAAATGAGAGGGACAGAGTGACAACTCCTCTTCACCGGAGATCGATTTGTTTGTAAAAACAGCTAAGGGGACTGTATCTGTCAATCATGCCACCGTTTCTAGCTACACTATCCCAGCTCATGAAATCTGATTAAAGTTAATCTATGCTGATTATTTTTTTCACACGTAGCCTCCTTTCCCTCCATCCATGGGAACTGTTTCAGCTGCAAAAGCCACCATCTCACAGGAATCCTCCTGAATCAGAGAGGTTACAGACCTGAAACATACATGAGCACTCCCTTCTCCCCTTTCTTGCTAATGGGTCACAGAGCTCTAATCTGCAGACCTCAACAGGACATCAGAATCCTTCTCAACACAATGTTCTGGACAGACGTTAGCTCTCAATCACAGATTCTGAGAGATAAGGCTGTTTATCAACCTTGAATTCAGTAATAATCAGGAAATTTATTTTTGTTACATTTTATATGTATTTATTCAATTACTACGACATTTTGATTTTTAAAAAACATGTTTCTACAGAAGCAACTAATGAAAGATAAAAACTATATAAAACCAAGAAAATAAAGTGCTTCATACCAGATACATGTTTTGTGTACATTTGCTCTCAAAACTTCACCATTTTGCCCTGATAATTGCTCAAACACAATTTAAGGATAATCAGAGTATGATCATCTGGGATATTGTTGTCAACATGTGTAGAAACAATTATTTCTTTCACACAACCAGAGATACGTGCAGACACAAGAAGCAGAGGAAATTTCCTCTAAAAAGATAACTAGAAACCTAAGTAGCATGCTAACTCACATCTTTTAAAGCCCCAGATACCTACCACTTGCTAAGGAATACTGAAGAATGGCCATGAACTGAAAATAAAAGCAAACATGGAAAGCCCTTCAGATGTCTCCTAAGCCTGTGCCACGTTTGGGGGACAACAGGTTCATCTGAAGGGCCCTTTCAAGAGCTGTCTTTGGGGTCCCCACATTAAGCCAGGTTCAAGGCACTAAGTATGCCCAGTGGTTATCTGACCAACACACTTGTTAGACAGCTCTGCTCCTACACCTCACCTGGAAGATGCCAGAGCAACAGAAACAAGCTCAGGCCCAGAAAGGATCTCAATTTCCATATAAAACAGCATCTGCCCCTTCCCAGGCTGATTCTGCAAATGTATAAATAGCGGCAACTTTACTCTGGTCTCATTGAAAAATCAAAATGGCATCGTGCAAAAAGAGCCCCCAGCACACTTGGCTCCCTGAGTGAGATGTAAGCGGAGATCAGCCAAGCTACTTGACACTCGCTGGTCGGCTTAACCAGATACTCTCCGGTTTCCTGTAGCAGAGTTCCCAGGGTTCTGCTGTGCAGAGCCGGAGAGTTCACTTAACGTTGATTGCCCAGCAATCGCATGGTGATTTAGATCCAAAGGTTGGAAAATACATTTCAAGTCGTGCCTAATATTTATTATCATGCATATGCAGAGGGAATGGCAGTGTCTAAATGGGGCAGCGAGTTTTCCCATGTAGCTAGTTAAAATGAGCTGAGTTGTCTTAGATACATGCTCAGTGAATTTTAAAAGACGTACACTCCACTAGTCATCTGGCCAGAAACAGGGGAAGAAGGTGAGAGCGAAAATGCATTTTAATTTTTGAAAGAGAATTTATTGCCTTTCTTAAATTCATTAATTAAAATTATCTATTACTAGTTTAGAAACATCTAAACCAATGTGTATGAAATATACATGAGATATTTCTTTACTACATATGAATACCCAAACCCAAAGCTGTCCTGCCCTGAGGGTTTAACGTCTGCATGCAAAGCCACCTACAGGCTTTTAAGCCACCCAGGAGAGCACAGATCTGTACAGTGACATCTGCTAAATACTCCACCAGACAATTGCCTGTCACACCCCCCTGATATCAAATTACCCTCTTCCTTAGCACTCTGATTTCTTACCAATTAAGGAGCAGTTTACTTTTAAGGAACCATGTCACTAAACTGAAAGTATCACAAAACAGAAGGTTTAAAAGAAACTTCTCTCAAAAAAAAATGTGAGTTAGTAACTTGGTTTATACGGAGCATCTGAGGATAGGCAACAAGATAATTAATGCTATTTCCCTTCGAGAATTCAAATGCTGAGATTCTCAACAACCCTACCCGGTAACTTAAATATTAGGCAACTCATTGGGAAGGGAAAATATTCATACACGTTTTCACACAAGAACATCTGTGTTGCATTTAAACCAAACAGAATTTTGATGCTTTTTTTCATTGCAGTGGATTCCCATATTAGAATGTTCCTCTTGGACTCCAGCTGAATGTCATGACCATAAATGCTATATCCGCCTTCCTGATGACACAAGCTTTCTGAATTACTCTTTACCCATCCTCCAATTACGTACTGTCAACCACATGGGGAATCATCATCGCCCTATATAACTGCCGATCAGCTGTCAGTAGTTAAATGGCAAGTGGTTCTTTCTTTCTAATCCCATGTTTATCAGGAAAAAAAGAATGATAAAGATAATAAACCAATGGCTGCAAAAAAAACCTTCAGTAAGTCCATTTCGAAATGAAATGAATATCAAGGCCAAAAAAAAGGTTTTATTTACCATTTACACAATGTATAAAATGAATATATATAATAAGGGCTAAGTTCTTTGATTTTAGTTTATCATGAAGCTTATCTACATGCATGAGACATGTGGAAATAAATATAACAAAATCTGGCTTTTGTCGCTAAGTCTACATTGTGTCTGGTGTTAAAAATTCATATTTTAAACTCTACTTTTGGTTATGTCTATTTCAACATAAATAATGTGTCTTCAAAACGGATTTAATTACTGTTCCCTAAAGATTACGCCTCTGTCTGTACATGAAAATTTACACCATAGAACAAGATTAGTCTGCAAAGATGACTGAAAACCACAACTATACAAACAGCACATTTACCACTGCACGCAGGCGAGTATGATTCTATTGAGAAGACTTTTCATTTTTCAACAAATTATTTGAAATCTCTTTAGAAATTAGTTTACATAGTAGGATACTATATGGTAAAGAAAAGCTCTGTTACTTACATGGTGTCTCTAATAAGAAGCGAACTTCCCAATTTGAAGCAGGTTTTATCACCTTCACAAAACACACGTCTCAGAGAGAAGCTCTCACCTAGGTCGAAACCTGTGAAGTGTGAGAAGTGATTTAATCCAGCAGTTTTACTAAATTTAGTTATCACATAGAAATATTTTACTGATTTTTAAATAGGATTTTTTTTTGCAGCCCTTATCTATAGACCAATTGATTTGAAGCCAAATCCTGCTGCTCAGGATTAGCAAACTTTATTTCATTTTCCTCTGTTAAGGATACAGGAGGACAAAATATGTTTCCAAACATTCAAATATTAATTTTCTTTGATGCAGGAGTTATTCTAAATGAATCATCAGAGTAGTTTATTGTAGCAACTCTGATTTTCTAAGATAGAAAATTAGTTAAGCAAAAAAAAAATACAGCCAATCAATTGATAGCTAAGCAGTCCTTTAAAAAAATCATGCTTCAGAAAAATGTATGTTGATGTGGGGAAATGCTTGGATTTCAAAAGCAGCATATGTATTATGATTATGTGTGCATGACGGGTTGAGGGGAGAGAAAATGGAGGATCAATGGAAAAATGAGAAAAAGAAAGGAAGGAAGGAAGGGAGGTAGGAAGGAAGGCAGAAGGAAGGAAGGGAGGAAGGAAGGAAGGAAGGGAGAAGGAAGGAAGGGAGGAAGGAAGGAAGGATGGGAGAAGGAAGGAAGGGAGGAAGGAAGGAATGTTATAGCAACGCGGGATTCATATTTGGGTAGTGAAATCTTTCTCATGCATTTTCCTCCATTCAAAATTTCTACAGTGTATACAACTTTCATGATTTTAAATAACTTTTGTTTTCCAAGAGGGTAAGTTGTTGGTGGTCTTAGGGTAAACAATACATAACTCTGCTCTCAGCATTTTTCGTACATCATCCATCTCCCTTGCTTTCAATTTTTTTAACATTGATGTTATCATCTTAAGTTACAGTGTCACAGAGTCACCCACAGTATATCACATGTTTGGTGATAATTTTACCCAAAAATGCTTCTTTGTAAAGGATTATAATGCTTACCTGAAACTTCCAGTTTGTCTCTGTTGTCTTCTGTAAACTGATGTCCCTCTGTTCTCAGTAGAGGACATTGCTTTTCTATTACAAGAAAAAAGTATTGAGGATTTTCACTACACTTTCCATTAGTTTTTTCAAATAAATTTGAATCATACAATACAATCAGAAATGAAAGATAAGATGGAAATAAATTAAACCATTTTATTAAATTTCTTTTTAATAAGGATAGAGTATTACCTACCTCATAGTGTGTTCGTGAGGATTGCATGTGGTTATATATGTGAAGTTGTTCAGAACAGTCCCTGGTACACAGGGAATGCGTGTCAGTGTTACATAGTTACAATTATGTTACTCTAATGTTCTAATAGTTGCTGTATACTTGACATTAGGAAATGAGCCAGCTTTAGTATTATTAAATATTCATATTCAAGGTATATTCTAATATTAAACGCAGTGAACTTGCAGCAACATGGATGGACATGGAGATCATCATTCTAAGTGACGTAAGACAGAAAAATGATATGATATCACTTATATGTGGAATCTAAAAAAAAAAATGAACTTATTTACAAAACAGAAACAGACTCACAGACATAGAAAACAAACTTACGATTACCAGGGGGGAAGAGAATGGGAAGGGATAAACAGAGTTGGAGATTTGCAAATACTAACTACTATATATAAAATAGATGAACAACAAGTTTCTTCTTTATAGCCCAGGGAACTATATTAACTATCTTGTAGTAACCTATAATGAAATAGAATATGAAAAGGGATATATGTATGTATATGTATGACTGGAATATTATGCTGTACACCAGAAACTGACATAACATTGTAAACTGACTATATTTCAATAAAATAAATAAATAAATGCAGTGACCTACTGCCATTTTAACAGAACTTTGATTCAGGTTTTGGTATTAGGTGATATTAAACTTTAGAGCAGAAGGGGACTACTATGGACAAAATGTGTCCTCTGAAAAAATGCATATACTTAAGTCTTAATCCCACTGTGATGGTATTTGGAGGTGGGCCTTTGGGAGGTGATCAGGTTTGGATGAGGTCATAGAGGGTGGAGCTTTTGTAATGGAACTGATATCCTTATAAGGGGATGGAGAAACAGGAGCTCTTTCTCTCTCTCTGCCTTGTGAGGCAGCGAGGAGGAGGGCATCACCAGAACTTGGCTCTGGGCACCTGACCTCAGATGTCTGAGCCTCCAGAGCCGTGTGACATACACATCTGTTGTTTAAGCCACCAATCCTATGGTATTCCTGTTAGAGCAGTCTGAACTGATTAAGGCAGCAACACAAAGGGAAGTCATTAAAATAAAAATACAAAGCCAAAGTGAAGACCTCTGCCATACAAAAGTGGCCTATAATGACCAAAGAATGAGACAAAAATCACTGAGAACAAACTAAAGATGTGCTAAGGCAATTAATGATATTCAAAGAAATAGAAGATAAAGTTAGCCTCCACTCACAGTGATTATGCATTTGATACCACCACAACACACTAATATGGTAATGTTCATGCATATACTAATTTTTTTTATTATCTGGGATATGTTTAAATTTAAATTGGTCTTGATTCTAGGAAGTTTATAGCCAATTCAGACAAAATTGCAGCCAAATTTTAGAATATCCCAGGGTAACTGTACAACTGGAAGATTCTTGAGCAAAATTGATGCACAATTTTGGTGTCATGCAATCAGAAGCTTAATCTTCTACATCTAAAAATTATATTTTGGTTAATGATGTTGAAGATTTTATTACAGAGAGGAGATAAACTGCTGAAAACCAAATTGCTCTCCTGCTCTGTGGAAAGTGGAAACTACCAGTTCTCCTTGTTAACTGTTCAGTTTCTCAGCATTTCATTTAACAAATGTAGCCCAGACCTCAGGGGTGGTGACAGAGCATCAGCTTACTATATTTAACTAGAAGAATAAATCAGATTATAAATCATGCTACCACTTAATCAGATCTAAAAGCTGCAATATACACAATTAAAATTACAGCACTGAATAATTTTAGAGATTACTTAGCTACTTTGGAAATTCCTCTCTCAGAGATCTGAACATGATTGCAGGTCCTAAATAATAATAACAAAGCTGGAAAATTTGTAAACATTACTCTTTTTTTGGGGGGAGAAAATTGAAATCATACCCATTTTGTAATCTGAGTTCATAATTGTTTTTATAAAAACCAAACACCTCATCGAGATCTCTGGCACTGAAAACTATAGAAAGTTGCAGACAGAAATAAAAGCCTAAGTAACTGAATGGATTAACCAAGTATTTAGGCTGGAAGACTCAATACTGTTGAGACGTCAATTCTTAATTTTATCTCTAGTTTTAGTGCAATATCAGTGAACATCCCAACAGGCTGTGCATGTGTGTCTGTGACTGTGTATATGTGAGAACTGACAAGCTGATCCTCAAATTGATATATAACTCCCAAACAACTAGAATAGCTAAGGCAAAACTGAAGAGGAAGAAGCTGGAGAATGCACACAATCAGACATGGGGTATTTTTATACCCAGCTGTTGGTGCACCTATAGATAACTAGACCAATGGAAGGGATAGTTCAAACAGAGGTCTGTACACATATGGTCTCCTTATTTACCACAAAAGGGCCACTGCAACTCAATGGGAAAAGGATTGTCTCTTCAATCAGTGATTTTGGGTCCACTGAATGCCCATATAGAAAAACACTGAAACTTGACCCTTAGCTCACACCACCAACAGAAATTAATGAGAGATGATCTTAGATTTAAACATAAAAGGTAAAATGATTAAGGACTACAGAAAGACATGAAATCTTTATGAACTTGGAGTAGAAAGATTTCTTGATAGGGACAGAGAAAGCACTAATTATAAAAGATTGATAAATGGGACTACATTAAAATTAAAATCTGAACAATCAAAAGACAACATTAAAAGAGTGAAAAGGCTAGTCACAGACTATTACAATACATATAGCCAATAAAACATTGTCTCCAGAACATACAAAGAGTTCTCACAAATCAATGAGAAAAAGATTAAAAACCTTAATTCAAAAATGTGCCCCCCAAAATAATCTAATAAGCACTTCACAAAAGAGAATGTCCAACCTGCCAACCCACATATAAGAAGGTGCCCAACACCATTAGTCATCAGGGAGTTGCACAGTAAAACCACAATGAGATAGCACTGAATGGCTAAAACTTAAAGCACTGAAAACACACAGCACAGATGAGGATGTGGAGTGAGTTGCTTGTGGGAGTGGAAGTTAGCACAACCACTTCAGAAAACTGTTTGGCAGCACTGACTAAAGCTAAATATTCATGAACCCTTTCACCCGGAAATCCAATGACCCAAGAGAAATGAGTACAAGAATGGGTGTAATGGCTCTTTTAGAAGAGACTATTCCTTGCAGCATGACTCATAATAATCTGACACCAGGAACAACCCAAATGCTCACTGACAACAGGGGATAAATGGACAAACTGTGGTATATACAACGGAAAATGCTAGCAATAAAAAAGGATGAATGACTGCTACCTGCAACAACCTGGAGGAATCTCACAGATATAATATTAAGTGGAAAAAATATCATTCCCAAACTGCATAATTCCATTTACATGAAGCTCAAGAGATTGTATGACTCATCTATGTCAAAGTACTGGTTCCCTTAATGGGGTGTCAGTGGGAGTGGATACAGGAAAGCCTTCTGGGATTCTGGAAATTTTCTATATTTTGATCTGAGTGGCAGTTTCACAGATGTATAAATACATATGCAAAAATTCATTGCACTGTGCACCTAAGATTTGATGACCTCAAAGAAAAATAGCATGTCTATGAGAAAAATATTTTAAGCTAAAAATGATTCTCTTGCACAACAAAACTCTGAAATTCAGATTAAACTTTAATAATGACTTTAAATGACTATATGACTGTAATCAATGAGGTTAACTTTAAATTCTTCACAACATATGTAAGGAAGGTCCAATAGGTGACCAGCAAAGCAAATGCCCAGACAGAAGGAGGAACTTCCAACTATGACACACAGATAAAGAGCAGAAAGTACGCTGGCCTGTTGCCAAGGTGGAAACAGTATATATCTTATTTAAATTCTTGTGAGAACTTAATGAATATACGATGGTGTCCAAGTAATAAACCTGTCACTGTGAAGTGAATAAAACTGAGCATTTCCAGCAATGTTTATGAAAGCATTTCTTCACCAAAGTCTTTAGTTTATGAAAACCAAGTACAGCTTTATATCTTTTGAATATGCACTTTGCTGTGAAAAGCTGAAGAAAACAAATGAAAACTAAGTGTTAATTATTTGGGGGTAAGATTCAAGGCACAGCAAACTGAATGCATGAGTCTTACGGTCCGCTGCATTGAAACGGCAACACAATCGAAGTGGCTATCAATGGTTGGATATGTGAATTTCTTTTAAGTATTGACACATACATTTTAATATAAATAAAGCATACATTTTGCATAAACCTGAGTGTATCTTGAAGAACTACTGATAAGACCCAAACATCTAAGCATCCTGTCAGGTAGATGGGAGCATCCCAGCAGCAGTGTCATTTCAAAGGCTCTCGGGAACCTTTCAAAAGTACTAAGATTCCAGCACAAAAGATGCACGACTTCAGGGACCTTAATCAACAGATGTCCTGAAACACAAACGCCAGTGTTTTTGACAAATTCAAACTATGATGTTGTTCGTGATTGTCAGACCCACTTTCCTCCTGACATGGCCTGTAGGATTTGAGTGGCTTATAATGGGGCTGGAAGGATACTGACGGGGGACAAAGGGACCAGAAATGAAGGAAGCTAGGTCAGATTTGGGGGAGATTATCTAGATTTTATCTAGCTTATTTACCAAAAATTACAAACATTTAAAAAATATGTTTTTCCTTCTCTCCCTGTAAAGATTAGAATCCTAAGGACCTAAGAACAAATCATTCAAGAGACCCTATGTGACTTTCACCCGCAAAGTTGAAATAAAATCCGTTTCCTTTCTCTCCAACTTTTTTTTCTCTGTATCAAACATGCTTCTTGAAATCATGTTCTAAACAAAATAACAGA